TGACATTATTCCCTGTGAGGTCACATAACGTCATGGCTTAAATCACTTTAATGATCAGAATACTTCCTGATCCTGGCCACATTATTGTTTTCTAGACAGCTTCTTGATAAACTTGTCATCTCAACAGGGAGGTCCTACCAGTTTATCAAGTCAATGTTTTGAAGCTTAGAGTTAAGATCTTTTTCAGCTCATTCCTTTGAATTCTCCTTCAAATGGGTAGGCTGATATCAAGGCAAGAGCAGGCACCAGAAATGGGTGGATTTGGAACCAAATCACAGCATCATCATTAAACTGGGGACATCACTACTTATTCTGTAGGTTGCTGTAAAGATTCAATAATGTAACATAAGTTGGACGTACCAATGTCCTCAGTAGGAACTAGTCTCTTAGTACTGTCAACATTCCTAGTCAGGCTGACTTCCTCTCTCCCTCACTTCTTTAATTCCTTGTAAGCCAGGTCCCAGGTGTTGCCTAAGGAGCCTCCTTTCCTCCAGCCTCCCCTGTTTGATTCACCTATCATATTGTGGCCGGGGATGAATTTCTGGAACAGTGAAGTGCAATTATTTCCATAACAACTGCCCACTAGACTGAAAAAACTTGTTACTGTCCTTGCCGATATAATTCATCATTTGTAGTTTCTAGTTTCATTTTTTTTAAAGTGCAGCAAAAATGTACAAAAAAGCTGAAATTAATTCATCTCCCCAAATTATTACTTCATCATGTATTCCATGTAAAAATTGAGGTATTTCACATTCTTTTCTTTTTTCTTCAAAATCCAGTGTGTATTTTACACTTATAGGACATCTCAACTCAGATTTCATTGTAAATACTTGATCTGTATTTAGATTTCATAAAATTTACAATTGAAAAAGTAAATTCACATACCCAAGTTGTTTCAAACATACTTAGTTTCCTGATACCTAGGTTTCCAGTCAAGATGGTGGAGTAGGTAAACACAGTATTCACATACTCCCATAACCACATCAAAATTACAGCTAAATTATAGAACTATCATTGAGAACAGCCTGAATCTAAACTGCACAGAAGTCCTATAACAAAGGATACACAGAAACAACTTTGGGACTGGTAGGATCTGTGGAAAAGCAGAAGGGTCTGGTCTCAAACTCATGTGTGGCAGTTAAAAATTGGGAAGGGTCTCTCAGCTGTGAAGGTACCCCTGAGGAGTGAGGTGTCCCAGCTCCCCACTTAGCGCCTACCCCAGGGTTCCAGTGCTGGGAAGTCCCCATAACTTCTGGCTGTGAAAACTAGCAGAAATTATGGCTGAGTTAGATGGAGGGCTTCTGGAGTCCCAGGTAGTCCACTAAAAGGGCCCAATGGACTTGTGTGGACTCATTCTCTCTGAGCTCCAATGCTGGGGCAGCAGTTTGAAAAGAACCTGGGACATATAGGGAGGAACTGAAGTGTCTGGCATCAGGGTAAGGACTGGAAGGACAGCTTTCTCCCTGACAAAAGTTCTGGCAGAGACTGTTGGTCCTTTTCTGAGCCCTCCTCTGCTACAAAGCCAGCAAGCAGGCACCATATTTGTGTCTCCATCAACCTGCTAACATTGTCCACTGCCCTGGTAATTTCCTGAGACAGTGTACCACCAAAATTGTGGGCTCAAACCATTTCCTATGGCTTTTCCATACAAACAGCTTATCCTGGCTCATGCTGAAGACTTCCCTAAAATCTCTCAAACAAGCCGCATCTGATCTCAGCATGTCCTGTACCTCTTACTAAGTGGCCCCTGGCCTGGCACTAGTGGCAGCCAACAATGGTTCACAGCTTGGCGTTTCCCAGGCACTTCCAAGCCCAGCACAAGTAGCAGCCATCTACAGAATGCTCTGTAGCTCATGCTGGGAGGCCCTGGGCAGGGTACAGGTAGTGGGTAGCCTTGGCCTGCACTTCTTGGAAAGCCCCAGAGCTAGTGCACTAGTGCACCAGGTGGACAGATTTGGACCAACCAGGAACACCAGTCCCACCACTTTCAAGAACTACATATTTAAAGGAGGACTCAGTGGGCACCAGAGCCTTGCTGAAGTGAGATCTGCTCTGTGTGGCCAGGCCCCTGCACAGCAGGTCCTCCATAACGGTTGTAGCCAGTCTTTGTAGAGGATGGGCTAAGGGGTAAATCCCTCCTACTAATGTGGCAAACAAGGCTCAACTACAACAGGAAGGTGAGCCCAGCTCTGGTGACTCAGAAGCCTGTACCACTGGGCCCTACGCAACACTGACTGTATAAGGCCACCCTACAAGACCAAGAGACATAGCAGCTCTACCCAATGTGTAGAAACAAACACAAGGAGACAGCCAAAATGATGAGACCAAAAAAAAAAAAAAAAAAAAAAAAAAATGCCCCAAATGGAAACAGAAGAAAACCCCAGAAAAAGAACAAAATGGAGAAAAGCAATCTACCAGATGTAGACTTCAAAACACGGTTTATAAGGATATTCAATGAACTTAAGAGGAAGAGTAGAGGAACTTAGAACTTCAACAGAGAAATAGAAAACACAAAAATGAAGATAGAAAATATAAAAAAGAACTAGTCAGAAATGAAGAATAACTAAAATAAAGAATACATTACAGGGAATCAACAGTGGAGGGGATAAAGCAGAGGATTAAGTCATAGATTTGGAAGATAAGGAAGCAGAAAGCACCTAATCAGAACAGCAAAAAGAAAAAAGAATTAAAAAAATGAGTCTAATATAAGGACCCTCTGGTCCAATTTCAAACATACCAACATTCACATTTTAGGGGTGCAGGAAGCAAAGAGCAAAGAATTGAAAACGTATCTGAAAAATAATGATGGACTACTTCCCTAACCTGGTGAAGAAAATAGGCATTCAAGTCCAGGAAGCACAAAGTGTCCCAAACAAAGTAAACCCAAAGAAGCCAGCACCAAGACATATCATAATTAAAATGCCAAAGGTTAAAGAGCAGCAAGAAAAAAAAGCAGTTAGTTACCTGCAAGGCAGCTCCCATAAGACTATAAGCTCATTTCTCAACAGAAACTTTGTAGGCCAGAAGTGACTGGCATGAAATATTCAAAGTGGTGAAATGCAAGGACCAACAACCAAGATTACCCTGACTCAGCAAAGCTATCATTTAGAACTGAAGGACAGAGAAGTTTCCTAGACAAGAAGCTACTGGAGTTCATCACCAACAAACCAGTGTTACAAAAAATGTGAAAGGGTCTTCTTTAAGAAGAAGGAAAAAAAAGATAAAAATATTAATAATAAAATAGCAATACATACCTATCAATAATTACTTCAATTGCAAATAGATTAAATGCTCCTATCAAAAGACATATGGTGGATGAATGGATAACAAAACAAGACCCTTACAAGAGACTCTCTTCAGACTGAAAGACACACACAGACTGAAAGTAAGGGGATGGGAAAAAATATTTTGTGAAGATGGAAACAAAAAAGAAATGTGGGGTTGCAATACTTACACCAGACAAAATAGATTTTAATAGATTTTAAAATAAAGGATATAACGAGAGACAAAGAAGGACCCAGTAATTCCACTTCTGGGTATTTATCTGAAGAAACCCAAAACACTGAATCAAAAAGACATATATATCCATATGTTCACTGCATTTTTTACAATACACAAGTTATGGATGCACCTAAGTGCCCATAAATGGATGAATAAAAAGAAGTGGTGTGTATACACAATAAAATATGACTCAGGTATAAAAAACATGAAATCTTGCCATCTGCAGCAACAATGGATGAACCTTGAGAGTATTATGCTGGGTGAAATAAGTCAAAGAAAGACAAATGCTTTCTTTGCAAGACAAGTGTTATTTCACTTACATGTGTAATCTAAAAAACAAAATAAATGAACAAGTAGGACAGAACACTTTGAAGGTTGCTGGATGGGAGGGGCGTTGGGTTAAAAAGGTGGAGGGATTAAGAAGTAGAAATTGGTAGTTACAGAAAGTCATGGGGATGTAAAGTACAGCATAGGGAATATAGTCAATAATATTGTAATAACTAAGTATATTGTTGAATGGGTACTAGATTTATTGAGGTTATCACTTCATAAGTTACAAAAATGTGTAATCACTATGTTTTACACCTGAAACTAATACAATATTGTTTGTTAACTGTAATTGAAAAATAAAAGATTTAAAAAATTTTCCAATACCTAAAGTCAATGTCAGTTTCTAAATTTAAATTCATTAAAATAAAATTCAAGTTTCTCAGGCATAGCTGTATTTCAAGGGCTCTAGAGCCACACATGGCTGTTGGCCACTTCACTGAACAGTAAAGGACAGACTCTATATCTTATATATAATTTTAACAAGATTTGTCACCTGCTTTCCCAGTACATTGGAGATTGGAAGAAAAAAACCGGTGACTAGAACTGACATACTTTTTTCCATGAAGTGCTCTAGAAGATTAAAGAACTAACCTCTAACTGGCAAATAACCAACAGTTTATATGCAGAGGTATTTTTAATATCACCATCAACTTTCCTGAAATGAAGTGAAATTTACTAGTTGGGTGTCTTGGAGTTATGTCTTGGGAGATTTCATTTAAATATATTTTCAGCTTCTCAAATATCAGCCTTAGCAAATTCCTGGAAAATACGTGCCAAATTTATACCTACTGTAGCTTTTCTATTTTCTCCTATTTTTTATGAAGATCTAAGTTTTTGTTTTTCTTTATCCCTTTCTTTGGAAGGGGGTCTAAGAATAATTTTTAACAGACTTATGAGGCCCTTTCTACTGTATTATCATTTGCTGAAATCCTAAAAACAAAATCCTAGAAAATGTAGATGCTTCAGCTAATTTCTGTTTGGAGTCTTATGCTCTGTTTCTTAACTGTTTCCTCAAGGTTGTAACATAAAACGTTTAATATTTTTAATGTATAAATGACTTGACATTTGATTTATAAACAGTGGCTATAATTTTGAATTCTATGAAAATATAAAATTATCACACAAATATCTAGGTGCTGATAAACCAAAAATAACTAGAATCTACCTACCTTAAAAAATTCTTTTTTCTCAACCATCTCATCACCATCTGCATCTAGCATTTTAAAAGCAACATGAAACCCAGTATGGGGTTCTGCAGTAGAGAGAAAAATGAGTATTTAAACGCTGGTGAAATGCAAATTGCATATAGACTTAATAGATTTTTGAATTTGAAACCAGCCACTAGAAGCTACATGACTAAGTGCCTGAATAGAGAAAAAAGTGATCTCTCCTTATGTTAATGACTTTCAAAGGCTGATATATTTCCATGGATGTGCTGTTCTGCTATGAAGTGTGCTGCCCTTCAAAGAAACTGTAATTTGAGAAGTTAATTTTTTTAGCTTTCTTATAGTCTTGTAAGACCATGGCTATTTTCATATTCATTTCCCTTTCTCTTTATTTCCCTTTCTCAGAGCAGAGTTTTTAAAAAACTTATTTTGAAATAATTTTAGACTTACAGAAATATTGTAAAGATAGTATGGTGGGTTCCCATATACTCTTCACCCAACTTTCTCTAATGACAACATCTTAATAACCACAGTACCTTTATCAAAACAAAGAAATTAATACTGGTATGCCATTTTTAATGTAACTACAGACTTTGTTTTGGTTTCAAGTTTTTCTACTAATGCTGTTTTTCCTATTCTAGGATGAAATACAAACACCATGTTGTATTTAGTTGTCTCCTAGACTCTTCCAAGCTGTGGAAGTTTCTGTCTCTCTCCATGATATTTATGACCTTGACAGTGTGAAGACTTGTGGTATGTCCATGAGAGGTTTTTAAATATACAAACTAAGGTACCAATAATATTTTTAATGATAAAGACATAAATACTAAATTTCCAATACATCATTTAAGAATAGAGAATACCACATGATAGTTGAGAAAAAATGTGGGATACTTACTAGTGAGGATTGTAAGCAAGAAGAGATACTCAGTATATGAAATTAATCCTGGAAGAGACAAAATAAAAACATTGGACAGTAAGGCTGAGGTGTTTCATGAGCACTCATACATGTACCACAATATATGGAAAATTAATTAAAAAGACATTTTCACTTTAAGTTACCTCTCTTTGGTACTATAGAAAACTTTTATAATAGAGTTAAGTACAGTACTATTACTTAAAAAAAGATACTAGGTTTTATCAGATTATTACTAGTAAAAGGAGGTGAATGGATGCTGGTATCCACTAGATGTTTTATTTGCATGGCATCTGTAATTTCTGCTTAAATTTTACTATTCATAACACCTCAAGTAAAACAGAATTATAAATTCAGTAGAATAACAGAGATTTGGATGTACAAGGGTCAAACTGTATTATTTGAAGTAAAACAAATCCTTGTGGCATACAGATTTTTCTCTGGGCAACCACCTCTTCCCCACTCTCCAACATGCAGTTCAGGTGGGATGTCCCCCTTTGGAGGCAGAGGCCTACTGGTGTAGGTAGCCACAGGGCTCCACAGAACTGGTGCTAGGATGGCACAGGGATGACCCAAGCTCACGAGCAGGCTGTGTTTGTCTGGCTGCAGGGGCTTATTTCAGGGATGAGCTGTGACCTGGTCTAGGTCAAGCAGAGTGGGATTTCTACAAAGACTGGGTCATTCATTTCATCTTTCCCCTGGGCTTTGATGATGGGAGAATGTTTCACTTATGATGTGAGATCATGAAAAGAATCTGAGAACTGCCAGAGATCAGTGTTTAGAGCCTGAGAATGGAGACAGTCTATAATTGGCAGAACTGAAAGACGGACACTGGTGATGCCTGAGCCCTGGATTAAGCTGCACATCACTGAAGCTAGCTGTTTGGCCACAAAACCAGCTTCCCTTCCTGCTCAAGTAAATGGTGTCACGTTTTATGTGCTTGCCATGAAAAGAATTACTATAAATACAGAAAAAATATCTTATAAATCATAGCTTCTTGATAAGCTAAAAAGAATTCCCCTCTGGTTCATAAGCTTGGTATAACAGCAAGCTATACAATTAAAACACTTTATCATGGAAAACTTCAGTTATATACAAAAGTAGAGAATAAGATGAATAATTATATATCAGATTCAATTATCTAATTATTTCAATTATCAATTAATGGCAGACCTTGTTTTACCTATACCTCTCACCCACCTTCCCTCACCTCCTACTGGATGAATTTGAAACAAAGCCCACAGACTGTATTATTTCATAGTAGAAAATTCAGGCTTTATCTTTAAAAAGGCTACCCCATCTCATAAATATATCTACCATGCCTAAAACATTAACAATAATTCCTTAATATCATCAAATTAAAATCAGTGTTACAAACATCCCTGTTTCAGAGAAAAAAGTTTTAAATTATATTTTACTATGCTATTACAGTTGTCCTGATTTTTCTCCCTTTGCCACGCTCTATCGAGCACTCCCCACTCCCTCAGGCAATCCACCCACCATCGTACATGTCCCGGGTCATTCATATAAGTACTTTGGCTACTCTATTTCCTATACTGTAGTTTCTATCCACGTGGCTATTCTGTAACTATCTATTTGTACTTAATCCCCTCACCTCTTCACTCATTCTCCCCCTCCCACCTCTCATCTGGCAACCTTCCGGAAACTAACTTCTTTGCTCCTGCTTGTCAGTCTCTCTTTATCTTTAACCTTTGGCCTTCTAATAATGATGTATCTTCCAGTGGACCTGTCTGCATCCATCATAATTGGGACTTTGCGTTTCCTGGACTGGCATGTCTATTTCCTTTACCGAATTAGGGAAGCTTTGTTTTACTATTTTTTTTTCAGATTGATTTCCAATTTCTTGCTTTCTCTTCTCCTGGTACCCCTATGAGGCGAATGGTGGACCTCTTAAAGTTGTCCCAGAGACTGTTAATACTATCCTCATTTTTTTAGATTCTTCTTTAGATTTTTTCTTCTTGTTCTGCTTTGTTATTTTTTGCTTATGTTCCAAATCATTGATTTGGTTCTCGGCTTCATCCATTCTACTGTTGTTTCCCTGTAAATTGTCCTTTATTTCAATTAGTGTATCCTTCATTTCTGACTGGGTCTTTTTATGCTGCTGTGGTTCTCACTAAGTTCCCTGAGCATCCTTACAACCAGCATTTTGAGCTCTGCATCTGACAGATTGCTTATCTCCATTTTGTTTAGTTCTTTTTTCTGGAGTTTTGATCTATTCTTTCATTTGGGCCATGTTTCTGGTCTCCTCATTTTGGCAGCCTTCCTATTTGTTTCTATGTATTAGGCAGATCTGCTTTGACTCTGTATCTTAGTAGTGTGGCCTAATGTAGTAGGCGTCCTGTAGGGTCCAGTGACAACAGCCTCCCTTATCACCCAAGCTGGATAATTGAGGCGCACCCTTTGTGTGGGGTGAGTATACCCTCCTCTTGTAGTGGAGCTTTGATTTATGTTGGCAGGTCAATGGGAGGGATTTACCCAGGAGCTACTAGGACTGGCTGTGACCAATGACCATTAACCTTTGCCCTCCATGGAGGATCAGCTGTGCAGGGCAGGGTGGCGGTGCTCCCAAGTGGTCTCTCCTCTGGGTGCACTGGCCCTGGGGTTTCCTGGGTGGTGCAAGCCAAGGTCAGCCCCCATCTGCATTTTGCCTGGGGCACCCTGCCTGAGCTGTAAAGCAATCTGAGACGGCTGCTATTTGTGCTGGGCTTGAAGGTTCCCAGGTGAAGCCAAGCTGTGACTCTAATCTGGCTGCTGCCAAGGGCTCACTGAAGCCAGCTGTTGCTTGTCTGATAGGATTTGGGAGTCAAGATCAGCCATTCTTAGGGAAAAGCAGCTTGGGCAGGCCCATAAATTGGGTGGGTTTAGAGCCTCTCTGGATCTCTAAGGTGGATCACAGAGTGTTAGCCAGGTTGATGGAGTCTCAGATATAGCACCAGCCTACTGGCTCTGTTGGGGCCGGGGGTGCACTCAGCAGAGGGACAATGGCCTCTGCGTGCCTTGAGCAGGACACTTCAGTCTCCCCCTGTATACCACTGGTACCTTTCAAGCTGCCACCCCGGTGCTGGAGCTAAGAGGGAGCAAGTCTAAGTAGGTGAGCCTGTGTGTGGGTATTTTAAGAGGAACTCCTTTGAGATCCAGCAGCCTCTTCCACCCATTCAATCCCCACTGTCAGAAGTTGTGGGGACTTATCTTCCTGGCACCGGAATCCTGGGCTGGGGGGCCTGGTGCGGGTCTGGAATTCCTTGCTCCTTAGATATCCCTCTCAAATTTTTATTATGTGGGTGTGGGGCCAGTTGGTTCAGAGTCCACACCCCTCCCACCTGTCTGAATGGATGTGATTTCTTCAATTCCATAGTTGTCAGACTTCCACTCAACTTTATTTTGACTTCCATTCAACTCAATTTCTGATGTTCTTGAGTGATGATTGTTCTATATTTTAGCTGTAATTTTGATGTGATAGGTGAAGAGGCAAGCCATGTCTGCCTACATTGCCACCTTGATTGGAAGCCCTGAAAAACTTTAAGTGTGTTCAAATTAGAATTTAAAGAGGGTTCTTGCACTGTGCTTGGTTCACAGATGTTGTCACTTTCTTTGGAGAAATATCTATTCCACCTTGCCCACTTCTAAATTGGTTTTTTATTGTTGAGTTGTAGGAGTCCTTTCCCTATCCTTAATATTAGCCCCCTATATATAATCTGCAAATATTTTCTCCCATCTAGTAGGTTGCCTTTTCACTCTTTTGATAGTTTTCTTGATACACAAGTTTTTAATTTTTCTTTTGTTACTTACCTTTTAAATCTCTTTTAATATATAGATTCCCCCTTCTCTTTTTTCCCCTTCTCTTTCAATTAATTTGTTGAAGAAACCTGGTCATTTTTCCTGTAAGGTTTATTGTAACTTAGAAAATTTTGATGACTATATTTTCTTATCATTCCATGTTCCTCTATCTACTAAATTTTCTACCAAGATGCAGGGATTGAACCCGTAAACTTTTGGTGTCTGTAACAAGGCTCTAACCAACTAAACCACCCAGCAAAGGCTATGGCAAGGGCAGGGCTATCTTAATAGATGGTGCTGTGTATACCAGGAGGCTGAAATGCAAATGTTTATAGAAAATGCTAAATATCACTGAAAGATACTGATAGTAAGAGTTATAAGACTTCAGTAAAATGTGAAATTATTTCCCAAGTTTGGATGATCAGAAGTAGGTATATTAAGCATGTGTAAGTGGGAAAGCCATATAAGATAAAGATTAATATAAATTAAAAAGAGAACCCTGGCCTGTGTGGCTCAGTTGCAGTGTCCCATGGACCAAAGTGTCACAGGTTCGATTCTGGTCAGGGCACATGGCTGTGTGGTAGGTTTGGCCTCCGGTTGGGCACATACAGGAGGTGGCCAATCAGTATTTCTCTCTCACGTCGATGTTTTTTTGAAACTCACTCTCTCTCCAAAAGCAAGGAAAAAAGTGTCCTTGGGTGAGAATTTAAAAAAAAATTAAAAATTAAAAAAAGATTGCTGGAAGAACAATGGGAAGTAAAGCTAACATGGTAATGCAGAAAGGAGGAATACAGGCTTGAAAAAGTAATGGCAGAGGAAGAAGACCACACCCTAATGGCTCCCAATCATGTAAAGCAGAGATGTGGGGCCACAGCCATTCAGAGAAAGGCAGGTAAGGATTTTATATCCAGACATTTCTGTGTTTTAGCTGAAACTAACTTCAGGTATATTTTAAATGGTTTTAATGACTTACTTTTTTTTGCATCACCAACTTTCTGTTGTTGTTTTTTAATTGTGGGGCAGGAATACTTCTCTTTAATAAAAAAGCCTATAGTAAGTTGTCAGATATTTTTTTCTTTAAAACACTTAGTGTTCATATGAAGGTACTCTAATATTATTAGTCAAAGGAACAAAGTATTTCGCCCATTGGCAGTATCACAAAAAAGTCAATAGTTTTTCTCCTAGTGTTCAAAGGAATATGGCAATGTGAAGAAATGGCCAAAGTGCTAGACTGACCTGGGCTTGGTGCCAAAAAAAGACCTCATGTTTCTTTTCTCTAGACATAACTCCATGTTTTTTACAAGGGTAGCTGTTTGAGAAAGAAAATTCCAGTCTTTCTTTGAAATACTGATGTAAATAAAAAGCTTGAATAAACACAGTTGAGACAGTGTGAAAATAGAATCCTACACTTTCAAGACAGATTATAGACAAGATCTTTGTACATCAGCATTCTAGGCATCTGACCTATGAATATGCTTTTTAAAAAAAACTGACACTTCAGAATATTTAGAGAAGAAATAATTTAAGACATACTTGTCACATCTAATTGTAAAACAAATGCTGTTAACTGACAATGTTTCAAAACTGTATGTCAAGTAGAGAAGTATTTCAAATAATTTGTATTTAAAAATTTGTTAAAAAATCCTTAGGGGCCACCTGAAGAGACGATTAAATTCTGTTACTGTGCTTCTCTGGAAATATTTAAAAACTAGAGTCATTATAATATGTGACTTGCCACTGAATGCAATTTTGAGAAGCCTGTTCCCCGAAGAGAAATTACCACATCTGTCATAAAAATATATTTATATCTTAAAACATGTCTCATAATTTATATTCAGTACATCTAAAACAAAAATTCATTCATTTATTTATTTATTTATGGGGGGAGGGGGAAGAAAGAGAGGGAGAGAAACATCGATGTGAAAGAGAAACATCGATTGACTGCCTCTCACACACACCCCCACCAGGGACTGAACCCACAAGCTAGGCATGTGCACTGACCAAGAACTGAACCTATGACCTCTTGCTTTGTGAGACACTGCTCAACCAACTGAGCCACACCAGTTAGGGCTATATGTAGCACATTTTCGAGGATGGTATTACATTGAGAATTCTGCTTGGATTTAAATACATACCTATGACTTACAATTTCCTTTTTTATAATGCATGGTGGGTAAAATGTTTTTATTTCAAGAATATAAAGACCATACTACCATTAGCTAGTTATAAGATTGTGGAAGCTTTGATAATGCTTTTATGTGGATTCTCTGAGACCTTCTCTTGTTACTGTAGATAGTCTGCCTTACTCCTCTATCCAGGCCTTAATGAAAACTGATGCTTGAATAATTTACCTGTAATTTCTAAGAGTTTGACAAAGTTACTTCTTACTTAATGAGTATTTTATTATGACTTGAAAACATTTATTAAATAACATGGTGTTACAACATTCTCTATGTAGATTCTCTACTGTATATTCTCTAACACACAGCTACAAACCTCATACCATAATTTGTTAATAATACTTTGGTTAATTAAAGTACATAAGAAGAAACTTAATAAATTATAATTACCTTTATCACCAAGGTCTCTAAAAAAGGTTGATCCACAACGAGTTCTTTGGATTGCTGCTAGTACATCCTGGATATCCTTCAAATACATACATATTAAAATCATTTAACTTAACTTATAAAAGTTAATTTTCTAACATAAATTTAAGTTAAAAATAAGAACCACTCCCTACACTCATTGCTTACCTTTTCTGTCAGCTTCTTGACGGAAGTTTTACCTACAGCAAAGAAAAACATGACTTAGTAACTATATTCCTTGGTGAACTTGACTTCCATTAAGAAAGAAGTCACTTATAAGACAAAAACAAACAATGAAATATTTATTAAAAAATAAAAGTTCGGCAATTGTAGCTAAAATTTTTAAATTAAAGTGACAAGCCAAAGAATTCTATCTGAACACAAAGACACTGCAGGTTCTTCATAAGACCTGTTTTCTATTTCACTCACCCCCATCTCAGACAAATGAAGTGTAATTGGCATACAATATCCTATTAATTTCAGTTGTGCATCATAGTGATTTGACATTTATATGCATTACAAAGTGATCACCACAATAAGTCTAGTTACCATCTGTCACCATACAAAGTTTTATAATATTATTGACCACATTCCTAATGCTGTATTTTACATACCTTTTATTTCTTAATCCCCTTCATTCTCCCTCAACCCCTCCCTCTCTGGAAACCACCAGTTTGTTGCCTGTATCTATGAATTTGTTTCTCTTTTGTTTTGTTTTTTTAGATTCCACATATAACTTAAATCATACACTTGTCTTTGTCTTACTTATTTCACTTAACATAGTATCTTTCAGGTTCATCTACAGACATATGAAATCTTGTAAATATCTTTGATTTATCTTAATTGCTTGCATCATAAATTCTTGCAAAACATGATTCTGTGTACATAATTATTAAAATCCGTCCTTTTGCTTTACTTATTAAAAATATACAGCTTCAATGTTTTAGGGAGCTATCTTTTTGAACCCTAAAAAGTCCTCTTAAGCTTATAGCTCTGTAGTCAAATTTTAAAGGGTAGCCAACATGACTGTCCATTCTAAAGTGATGTCACTTTTAATAATTTTCTATTGGATAACAGAGATTTAAATTCTTTCAGATTTCAGCCATTTTCTCTACTGTTTATATCACTTTCCTCTTGCCTGCTGTAATTCTAAAGCTATCACATTGTTTCTTTTGTTGGAATTTATTCTTGTAGCCTCAGCCATTTTACACAGCTAGAACAAAGCTAGAGAAGGTCTTGTTTTGTTTCTTACATAAGCCATGTGCATCACAAACTTCCAATTGCTCTCAAAACATCTGTGAGGTTCCTTTGGTACACTGAAAATTCAGGTGACAAGTTAAAAAATAAAAATGAATACTTTCACATGTGCCTTTTCTGTAGTTTGTATGCTTAATTAGGATCATAAACCTTGTGGGGATAAATTCTATTATTTGAAGTTAATAAACTGTCAAGATATTATTTTTCATTAATCAAAACATTAATTGTGAATATGATAATTTTTAGAAACATCTATGACCATGTTTATAAGCTTAGGTATTCCAGTTTGGGCTAATTTTTATTCCCTGATACATTACTACATCTCACCAAATGACAAAGGACTCTAGACTCTAATGTTAAGTACTACTCCATGAGATCATCCATAGATAAACCTTACCATTTATTTTACAAATCTAAGTGTCCATGTGAATGTGTATGTAGAATACATAGTTATATGATGTTGATAACCCCAGAAAGTTGTGAGTACATGTGTTTTTCTATCTTTGCATATTCTATTAAGTTAAAAAAGAAACTGACCATGATTCACATACCTTATACTGCTTTTCTTAAATTTATGTAACTATTAATTATCATATGCAGTTTCATTTTTAGACATTTAAGGTTAGCCTTATCAGTTTTTTAAAGAAGGACTGATCCTTGATCCTAATGGAAGAAGTATTCTAGAAAGTAAAACTGACATCTAGAAGGTGACATCTTGAGATGACAATATCAATGCTTTCTGAGAAATAATTTCTTTTTTTAAATATATTTTTTTACTGTTCAAATACATTTGTCTCCACCTTCCTGCCACCATTATCCCTTACCCTCCTCCCCCACCTCACTCCCTCAATCCTTTCCCACTTTGGCTTTGTCCATGGGTCCTTTATACATGTTCCTTGACGACCCTTCCCTTCCCTTTCCCTGGCCCTGCGCCCCCATTCCCTATTGATTCTGTTGGTTTCTTTTTTCTTTCAATGTTGCTGGTTATATTTTCCTTGCTTGTTTGTTTTGTTGGTTAAGTTCCACTTACAGGTGAGATCATATAATTTCTAAGGGATCTTTTATCTGCTTCACAGCTAGATTCCTTTCTGGCCTTCTAGGAATCTTTGGGCTTAAAAATATCTTTCTACTTGAAAGTGAGGAAGGATGGTAGCATTTGACTCCCTGCAATTGGTAGTCTTGATGCCAAACAGCTGAGCCAACACAACTCAATACTATGTGAGTGAAATACAACATAAAGGTATGAGCTAATCAAATAACATAACACCAGAATCACAGCTAAGAGCTAATTTGTAATACCCTACTAAGGTAGACAGTCCATATCTGTCTTACTTGTATGTAGCTCAGGGCTTAGCATTTAAATATTTGTTGAACGAGTAATTGAATGAAAATTTAAAAAGATTTCAGAATGTCTTCTTAGTGAGATCCCTGCCTTTACATGGTTAATAAATTATTATCCCCATTTTACAAATAAAACAGAGCCCAGCGAAAGGTAGGGGAATTAGGTCATGGTATGGGCACTGCAGGGTTTCTTTTGTCATACAGACTTTTCAAAAACAGGTGTTGGGCATCTTGAGTTCCATTAAAATGGGAACCTGTGGACTAGTTTCAACACTTCAGAAAGCTTTACAGAACTGACAGTTAAGCATGTATGATCATAGGGGAAGTTTTTTTTTTCCCTTTTGATTATAACTTGGTACTTCTATGTATATTTGATTATCAAAATGGAGAAACTATGTACTTAATAAGCTTCTCTTGTAAAAATACATTTTCAAAATGAAATCAATGCTTGAAAAATGGATAAAGAAATTTGCTGATAAAAATTTGGGGGCATTTTCTTACACAAAATTCGTTTTTAGATTAAAAAAGATAATGCAGAGCTACCAGGGGTGAACCCCTATTCTCTTGTACTTCCCCCCCTCCTAAGTTAATGAACTTTACCCTGAGTAAGAGAGGGATTAGTAAGATTTTTTCAGCAGGTGGTCATCTCACCCAGGTGTGCTCAGTCTTATACCACTTGTTCTTGGGCTGAGCCAGTAGACAGACCAAAGTACCAACTCAGAGGCCCATGGTCAGATCTGCTACATGAGTAGCAGTAACAACACAGGACATACAGGACATAGTAAACAGACCTGACTATTTTTATTCATATTTTTCTATTTAGGGATAAAACCCATCTGTAAGTAATCTGGTTTTACCTTCAGGTTGTTTTTTTTTTTTTTTGGTTGGGGGGAGAAGACTCCTGCTCTCTCTCTTTTTTTTTTTTTTGGCTATTTCTACTTACATATGTGTAAGAAAATTCAGTCTTACTATTTTCATAGCTATTCCATATGTATTTCATATTTTACACACTCCAATATATGGAAATAACAGAAAGGGGGAAAACTTAGCAAAAAAAGTAGATCTACAGTTGAGGCTATAAGGTTCCACTGTACAATATGAAAGCATGGATTTCACACACTGAGGCTTTTCTTGGCAGGGGAGGTACAGATCTTCCAGTACTAGGATGGAATTTTCGCCGAGGGAGTAGAAAGATTTTAAAGGTCTCCACCTATTCTAAAGATTCCATTGTGTGTTTTTCTTTTTCTTCTTCTTTTTTTTTTTTACTATTGACAGAGAATTCTTAAGTAAAACCAGGAACAAGCACATTTTGTTATAGGCAAACAGCTATTTTAATACTTAAAATAAGCAAAACTGAATTAATACATAGTAAGTTGTATGGGTCAAATAAATCTTTCCTTTAGCCAGTCAAATTATTTGATAATCCTAACTATAAAGACATTACTAATGACATCTAATTCTATTTAATTTTACTGGAGATAAGTGGACTTATGACATAAAAAAATTAGACAACAGCAACACTTCCATTTCATATCTTTTGAAATAAAAATATAAAACAACTTGGCCTCAATATTAGGATTAGTGTAAGAGAGAGGTGATTACTCCAATACTTGGTTGAATTCAATCACAATTACTACAGAAACCAAAGTAGAAAACGTGGATTAGCAAAACAACTGAACTAGTATTATTAATAAAAGTAATAACCAGAGGGGAAAAAAGTACTAGTTCAGTGGTGGTATTTTCCTTCAACAAAGCATATGGCTTGGCTTGTTTACTTGTGCTGGAATATTTAAATACTAAGAAATACCATCTGGTTGGTACTTGTTGTAGAGGAAGACAAATGGTGATCCCCTGAAATAACTAAAACTGGCCTTCTTGTCAACTTTGCTTGAGATACATTTAAATTGTTTTTGAAAACAAAAAAAGAAATGTGCCCCTCCAATTTTTTTTTCTTTTTGCAACATCAAGCACTGTGAAATAATATGAACATCATACACAACAAATTAATTAGTTTGAAAACTGATATAAAGGGGTAAATACAGCAGCTAAGAAACTAAATAATGGGGAGAGGACAAAATAAGGAAAAACTTCTCCAAATAAGAGATGCTTAGTTAAGACCTGGAGAATTACAGTATCCCTCCCCATCCCCTGCAGTTTCTCTTTCTGCAGTTTGTTATCTGCCTCCATCATGGTCTCATATTAAGTGGAAAATTTCACAGGTAAACAATTCTTAAATTTCACATTGTGCATTGTTCAGAGCAGTGTGATAAAATCTAACGCTGTCCCAGTCTGTCCTTCTGGGGACATGAAACATTCTTTTATCCAGTGTCTCCATGCTGTAGACACTACCAGCCTGTAAGTCACATAGCAGCCATCTCTGTTATCATACCAACTGTCACAGGATCACAGGGCTGTGTTCAAGTCACTTTTATTTTACTTAACAAGTGCCCCAAAGCACAGGAGCAGTTTAAACTTCATCACGGGTATGCATGTATAGGAAAAAACCGTATGTATAGCATTTGGTGCTCTACCCAGTTTCAGGTATCCACTGGGGATATTGGAATGCATCACCCTGTGGATAAGTGGAAAGACTCTAGCATGA